TATGGAACAAGGGGTGGATAATGCCTGTCATGCAGTAAACTAATAGCAGCACCCCCCAAGGCTTCCTCATCATAGCAACACTACTTTTGTGTATGCATGCATCCATGCATGTGTCTGTGTTGATGCGAATAACCGGAAGCTTTCATTCCCAATGCAGGGCACTGAGGATTCAAAGTAACCTGATGGCCATGAAGGGCAAGTAGGAAGCAGGAGATGAGTTTGGAGTCCTTCAAGAGGGTACCATGTCCTTTCTCTTTCTTCAAAGAGGCCTTTAGTTTATGACCCAACTTGATTCTCCTGCTTGCGGCAAATCCCCATCTCACTATTACTTAAATGCAACTGTACCCATTTGAGCTTATCTCAAAAGAACACACGAAAGACAGATTCCAATGTTAAGCACACAGGATCTCTGTGCATGTGAAAGAAATGATATAAGCCAAGTAATCCATATAAAATTGCCTCAGTAGTCCATGTTTAGCTGGACCAAAACTACTTCTTCTTATCATCAGCACAATCTGTTTGTATCTTCCTCTAAAACTAATCCCCCCTCCCCCTCCCTTGTGCAGGAATAGTAAGGAAAGAAGGAGAGCCCAGAGAATCCAGTAGCATTTTGGAATCTTTTTACATGCAAGAAGGTGGTCAACTTACATTTTTTTGGCACCTCATGCAATCATGCGAAGACCATGATAACTTAATCCTTCTTCACCTTAATAATGCAGCTAATGATACGGCAAACTATTTAATACAAGGTGGTAATGTGATGTCAAAGAAGAGGCAAAACCAGGTTACTACAGCAGACTTGCAGCATCAGATAACTATAGAAAGATTGATGTGGAATGGCATTAATTAGAATCTACATCCTGGACTACAGTGCATCATCAGCCTTATAATAACAAGTGGTGTTGGACATCATCGATATGAGTTTATGTGACTTTTAGAGGCTCTGAAATCACAACTGCTGCTCTTCTTTCAGCCTTCAGGAAGCCAGTCGAGCAAACATGCGAGATTTGACAAAGGGAAATCTCATAGGAAGGGAAATATATATATATAGGAATATTTAAATTTTTTAGATCACACTCTATCTTTTAGATAATTTTTTTCTTATTTAATTTTATTAAAGTTATCCTAATTGCTATAAATAATTTATTTTTCTATCTTTCTTACAAATCACATACATTCATCTCAATATTCTTATCTCACCGGTCCGTCGATACTTAGATTCATTCATCTCAATTAAGTATCCAATTTTCAGAAATTGATTTAGTCGAAGGCTATTTTGGGGTATACAAATTAATTTCGACTGATGAGGAAAGACACTATAAGACCTCTCAGAAAGTAATACTTTCATGTCCAAAAAGAAAACCCCCTCCTATTCTGCCTGCAGTGTTCAATGCATCAGGCGATTATGAACTCATGAAACATGAGCTAAGATCGATCAAGAATTCCACACATTTAACACATTCCTGCGATCAATCATTCATGCCCGCAAACTGTTTGCACAAATGTTGTCAGTTTCTGCTGGCACATGAATGATCGAATCCAGTAGCAGCCTCCACAACACGCCGTTAGATCAAACTGCGATCTCCCCTTCCATCTCCGGTTGCAGCGGCGCCCCCCAAGGGGCTCTGAGAACAAGAAAGGCTACAAGACCCTCCCCCGCGACAAGAATCAAACCAAAACACATGTCCAACATGGAAGCTGTTGGTCGTTAGGCGTGCCGACAGCCGTCCGACCGAAGCCTCGCAACAGCTGCAGCCCAGGTGCTGCGCTCTTTTCTTTAACAACAGGGCGGGGGTTCTCGCAGTGGCATTCCGTCGAACACATGGCGCGCAGCCTGAGAGACGCTGGCTCGGGTGCTGCGCTGCCATGGATTCCATCTCACATGACGCCGCAGGGGGCTCACAAAACCAGACCCGGGGGAGGCATGAACAGACGCCTCTCGTATTCTAATGGCCTGCACTCCCCCTAGTAAATTGTTTGAGATCTCGTCTCATCACAGCTCACTTTGTTTGGTGCCCCTCGGCCACTGCTGCCCCCAGCTAAATGCCAAAGGCCGGTCCTTCATCTGCGCCAATCTGTCGGGGGTATGGAAGACAAGGGGAGCATCGCCATCTCCTTCTCCATGATTGGCAAGTCTCCCACTCCTCCATGGAATACTCTATTTTATGTGTCCTGCACTGCTGCTTCTCCCTGTCTTCTCTCCTCCACAGAGTGGTTGGGTTACAGCTGCGTGTGAGCTAATTGTTGCAGCTCAAATCACGCTTAGCTGTAACAGTGATCCACTCTGTTAATTTATATTTCCTCTTATATTTCTATAGACTTTGATCGCCCAAACAATAATCTCAATCGTTTGGGCGTTCATCGGAGAAGATAGAAGGTGGGTTTGGGGAAGAAGTCTCCAATAGGAGATCTAAAAGCCCATCTCCAATAGTTTGACTTTGATTTGGCATTTAGTGCTTAATTGCATGGTTTATACATCTCTTCATAGAGGTCAACACCTTTTTCCTCAGGCAGTCACTGAGGCATATAACTATTGGAGCTTACAATGTCAACCGTCTTTGCATCTCCACACAAATCATAATTATCTTCTGCCTAAGAAGATAATCTTCAGACATTCAATTTTGCTTATGCATACCGATCATATTAATAATCTTTTGTGGTTTCAGTTTTTCTTAATCTACAAAAAAAAAAATTCAGGTTTACATTCTTAAGTTAGTAATTACTCACTAAGGGGCATGAAATCTTATTTTGCTTAAATTTCAGAATTTGACTTATCATGGTGTTTGGGTCCCAAGTTTTTGGTTCAAGGCTTAATCTATAGTTTGTCCTTCTTGATTGCTTAAATTTGTGGGTTGACTTTTTTTGTAGCACCTAATTTATGGTTTGACTGTTTATGGTTGACTAATTGCTTAACTAATACAAAGTCTTTAGTGGCTTAATTATTTTCATCCTAGAGAAATTTCAAAATCCTTTAAGGTAAAAAAATATGCTTTTTGTTACCTCCTATAAAATAAGAAATGCATTTGCCCTTCTCATTTCCTATTGTAAGATCAAGGGATTGCTCAGATGTTCTATGAACAACAAAAAGCTTCTAACTTTGTCATAATAATTATCACCACTTCCAAATCATCTGTAAAGTCAAATTAGGAAATGTGATAGATTGACCAAGTTTAACAACAGGGAATTTAAATTAAATGGAGATGATAACTAGATATAATTTCCTGCTCCAACAACATGTTAACACAAATCAACTTTCACCAAAAAAAATCTGAAGTAAATGTGACAGGATTCAATTATCTTGAAAAATTCTAACAAATATTGTTTCATTTAATGCAAAGATTCATGAGCAGTATCAAGTCAACTCAGACAACTATATAACCTTAAAGCAATATTGCAAACTACAAAGAGTCAACTTCTAGACTCTCTTATCAGCCAGCATAAAGAGACAACCCAACATGAACATATGGAGATATCAACATCACAAGCACTGTTTGGTCGGGTAATTAGAGCATAATTAACTGAGAAATGAAACTTACCTTCTTAACTTGTGATCCATCAGGTCACATGAGACATATCCACACTCTTCTTCATCTCTCAGTGAATCTCCACCAATCCAACATGAACAGTTGCATGTCCTACTTCAAATAATTAATGCAATGCTGTTGCTTTCCTTCAATGAATAGATGAGCCAAACAGCTAACATCATCAACAGGCAATAATGCACACAAGAAAAGAGAGAGGGAGGTTGGGAACTTACACCATGAGCATATCCACATTAGCCTGGAATCATGTGGGGTTTTCCTTCCTGCACAATGACTTCAGAACGGCAACAGCCAGGCAGAGAAAGAAACTATATGGCCACTGAAACAAATGCCAAAAGGATATTAGTTCGGACCACTGCTTTTTGGTCCACCATTACAGCCTACATAATAACTCAAACTGGACATCAGAAAACAGCAACCTCACTTGGTGACAGTACTGGTATTCGAACTCAGCGATGCCATCTCTGAGGCTTCTTTTGGGGTCTCTGACAAATATGTCCTGCATCATCCTGAGATGCCTCACATCAGGACACTGAAAGCTGCAGGAGAAAAACTTCAGGAACTTGACATGGTTAAAAATTTTACAGTAATTGCTTATGATGATTTTGTCTACCCCTAGCAACTAGTCTAATATGAAAACTTACCCAGATTTTGAGTTACTTTCCAAGCAATGCCTCGTACATCAGTAAGATAAATCTTATATCCATGAAGGCATGAAAAGTACACCATGGACTCAAGCTAACCACAGAATTCAAGTAGTAAAAAGAGATGGAAAGGTGCACATTTATCTAAACTCTACAGATTTATCTATAGGACATCAATACTATCTTGTTCACACCTAGCCTTTTACAATTAGATCAAGTCAACTTGAACAAAAATCATGGTTGTCTCAAATTAGCAAGTAGAAGAGACTATTAATTGCTGCATCATCACCTAAACGTACTTGCTCCAGCAAACAGTGAAGTTTTCTCAATCTCCCTATTACAACTCTTTCAGGATGACAACACCAGTTGACCTTGTGCTCTCCCCTCATATCTGCAAAATTAGCCAATCAAATTTTAGGTTAGTTCATTATGCTAAAAGAAACTGCAGCTTTATAATCATGCACAAAGTCAATCAAATATAAAAAACAAGAAGGAAGCATACCAAAATTTATGTGAAATTGCTTCATGATTCATGCATCAAAACAAAGTCTCAGCGTTCTCTGAGAACCTGCAGAAGATCTTGACTATTAAAAGCGACAAGATGTTAACAGAATAACCATATTGGATCTGCAGACCAGATATTAACAGAATTCAACACCAGCACAATTATATCAGGATAAACAGCATTACTGAGTACTATATATCATTTATAATGACAATTGCAGGCCTCAATACAAAAAAGGATTTTCACACCCCAAAGCAGAGGAAATTAGGTAAAAATATCATTATCTGCAACACTCAACAGTTATGACAGAATCATAAGCACCTGCAGATGAACTCTTCACTGTTATCAAGGTTTAATTGTATAACCACATCCCGTTTGCAAATTATGTTTACATCAGTGTCTGTAACATTGGAACTGGTTATACCACTCACGTTAAAATAAGATGACTACCTTCCCATATACAGATGAATCATCTGCATTTCGGCACATCCTATGATACAAGATTTACAAAGGCATTCATAAACCTGGTTCCTAACCTACATGTTTACAATCCATATCTTCAAAAGTTGATCAACGCAGCAGCAAAGGTATCTTTGATGAACTTGGTCCCAAAAGATTGCTGGTCCTTTTCAGACACATATAGAATATGATGATTCCAACAGTTGGATAGAGTTTAGGTACCCCATGATTCCAACAGTTACAACCAAGCTCGAGTTTGTAGATAACCTGCTTGATGGCTTTTTCCCCAACTGAAACATCAAAGACTATGATACCTAGTCAAGAAAATAATTGCGAATATCAGTTATTAGAGATAGGCTAACACAATTATTTTCCAGAACTAAAAATAATATAGCACTTTGACCGCATATCAACCGCTGAAAATAATAATTGCCAGATTCCATAAATGTCATCTATCACAAAAATTCAAGGGAATTATGTGTCATGTTAACAAATTTTGATAACTTAGAGCTATAGCCACTGCAACTACATCATGTTTCCCAAACCAGAAAATATCAGTTGCCCATAAAAAGTACAATCAAATTTGTAACAGCAGATTTATGCAAATTTATAATGATTCATTATATATAAAAATGAAAAATACACTAATTGTGCTTGGATCCTGGATACACAGACATAAACGAATAAAATTTATTTTTCCATAATGGAGTTCTAGTGTTTTGCAAAGTAGTTTAAGAAACATGACCATTTCATTTACTGTAAACACTACTTAGTCCACTCATCATTACAGAAGCAGCTAATTTGTACAATCACATATTAGATAATTAAGCACCAAATGCATTTGAATTTGGCATCTTCTACTGATGTCACCAAATGCAAGAAAGTAACTAAGTTTACATATGTGGTTTCCAATATCGGATCGCTAGCTAGATGAACTGTGTCGCATCAAACTTCGTGAAATTATATAGATTAGTTTCTAAATATGTACAATGCATATAGACTATATATTCAATAAACTGCCTTGATGTGGTTCACCTTATTATCTATCCCCGTTTATAGCAAGCAATAGCCAAGGGCCCCAAACAGATATGGCATAAGCAGTTCTTTCACAAAGCATCAGAGCTTGCAAAGCCCATGTAATTCCATGGTAGAGTTAGATTCTGAAAACACCAAAAGATGTGATACTAGGAAGAATCAGCCAAATTAAAGGGAATGGCACATCATCTGCTATCTATCACATCCTCCAACTTCCTTGTTCTGATCAGTTGTCTCATTAATCCAGCAAGCTGAGTGGGTCTCAACCTATAGTGTGTTAAATTTAGAAGAGAATTTTTTAGCATAAAATATTTTTTGTTTTCTCAAATATTATATTTATGTTTTTAGAGTTTTGCTTTTTTATATCATTATGAATAGTGTTTTGTTTTCTTTTTTATATAGTTTTACATTTTTCATTCTTGAAATATTTTCTCGACTAAGTCAAGTCTCGCTGATCCCAATTTTCCATTTCCAATGGTATTGTCACTAGCAGATACTAATTCAAATATTGATTTGCAAAATATAACTCAAACTATGCTTGTATTACAGTTAGCCTTCACATGTTTTGCATCATAGCCACCATGTAAATGTGGCAATAGTTTTGTAGCATAGATATATAAATTTTGTTTAAAACACATATATATTTTAAATTTCCTAAAATCCATCTAGCAACAACAAAATGCCCTGATTATTTAGGATTGATCACCTGGATCTCTCCTACAATTAAGCTTTATTTAGGAAATATTACTAGTTAGACCTAAACCTGTATTAAATTGATATTAATGCATGATCATAAGATATGACAAAGTTTTATAATGGTTGTGAGCTACCTAATGTAACTGTTTTTTTGGGTCTTAAATATAAGTTGTTTCTGGTCATATTTTGGGTAATTAACTTGGCTTGTCCATGCTTCAACTTATATTTAATTATATTACACATCAAATTACAACTATAGCCATATGAACAATATGACTGATCATCCTGTTTATATATATATATATGTGTGTGTGTGTGTGTGTGTGTGTGTATGTATGTATCTATATATATATATATATATATATATATATATATATATATATATATATACATATATATATATAT